TTCTTCTCTCTCTTTTTTTCCCCTCTTCTCTTTCTCTCTCCTTTTGTCCTTATGATGTAGGGATGACAATTGAATGAATCGAGGGTTGACATAACCATTCCTTACCCTCACCTCCTCGTGTTTTTTTTTTCACCTTGACCCATCGCCAGTCCGATTAAGATGGGCTCGGGCAGATACCCTACTCATTTATCGTTCTATTTTTTATTTTTATTTTTTTCATATCTTTAATTGGTGAAAATAGTTAGTTTTATTTTTCAGTTTTGTTAAGAAAAATCCATGTTCACTTTAGAAATTATGATAATTCTTTTATTTTTATATGATAAAAAACTTAAATTTTAAATGAACTTTAAACGGGATGGATAACGGANNNAACTTTAAACGGGATGGATAACGGAGCCCAGAGACGACAACCTCTGTCTCTCCCTTGCCCCGTTTACGTGAGGAATTTCCATTGCATTGAGGCCGGCCCATTCATATCGGATTTAACGAAATTTTTGCCCTCCCTAATAAGATGGACGAGAGTTTTGAGATTTATAACACGCACGTGGTGTTGAAATACCTGCAATAAGTGTAATTTACGTAAAATTAGATAACTAATTTCTTAATCTAATTAAACTAGACAATTGTATTAAGGAAAATCAACTTTTATCCTGAATTCTAATTCTAATGAAAGTAAAGATGGCATACTTATCTTTTATTAAAATATGACTTAGCCTTGTTAAGTAAGATAGAATTAATCTCAAGTTTAGTTTTAATTAAAGTAGAAATAGTGGGAAGACTAGTTATGCCCCTGTTTGACACACGTTCTTTCAAAATACTTTATTTCAAAACTCATTTTCAACCACAAATTTTTCAATAAAATAATATTTTTTTTATCTCATCAATAATTTTTCTTTATTTTTTAACCTCATATTTCTCATCATATCACTATTTAAATATATTCTTTTCTCAATAATATCCATCAAACACCCCATAAATTAAGATTTTAGTATTTTTAATAACCCTAACCATGATCAACTACTAAACTAATCAATCCGTCCAATGAAGTGATAAATTCTTTCAAATATTCATTTAACCTAGTTTTCTTGCATCGCTTCTAACTTAAGTTTTAACTTAGGGATAATTGCAGTTGAGACCCCAAACCTTTGAAACATCAGCAGACTTTTTCCAAATCTTTGATTTGTTGCAATCTTCACCCCTAACATTTTCAAACGTTGCAGGTGAAGCGCTTTGGAAGGTTTCCATCCATAATTCCATCGGTTGACCAAAAATTTAACTTTGACCACATTTTAAATATTTTAAAAATGGGCAAAAGAGTAATTTTATATTTTTCCCATATTAAAAACTTAGGGTGTGTTTGATAAGCTTCAAATTCCATGCAAATTCTATTTTCCAACATTTTTCATGTTTGATACCATTTTTTTCCATGAAATTCCTTTTCCATTTTGAGCCCACACGCGCACCATTTCCTCATTTTCAAGAAATAGGATTTCCCACATTTTTGGTGGGAAATCTGATTCCATGTTTTTTTTTTTTTGGCAATGGAAACAAATTTTATAACCAATTATAAAAAAAATTACTTTAATNAAAATACTAAACTTCGATTAAAAAATGATTTTTTTAGGAAATTTTTTTTTTTTGTTTTTTTACTTTTTGGCAATGGAAACAAATTTTATAACCAATTATAAAAAAAATTACTTTAATGGACAATTTATATGTAAAATAAAGTCAAACGAATACTAAAATTTGATTAAAAAAAATGTTTTTTAGGGAATTTTTTTTTTTTTAAACTTTTTGGCGATGAAAACAAATTTTATAACTAATTGTGAAAAAAATTATCACTTTAGTGGACAATTTTCATGTAAAACAAAGCTAAACGAACACAAAATTTAAAAAAAATTCGGGTGAAAAATTATACAAATCAAACACACTCAGGCCCTGTTTGGTCCACATTATTTTTTTCATTCTCATTTTTCTACTAATTTTCAACCACACATTCATCAATAAAATAATATTTTCCATCACATCAATAACTTTTCCTTCATTTTCAACCACAAAAAAGGTGTGATTTGACACAAAGAATGCATTTTTTTCTAGAAANGTGAACATTTAAATCTTGTACTCGGTTTTAGAGCCTAAGATTTTGAGACCACTGAAGGTCGATTATACTTATTAAGCCTCTGTTTGGTATCCATTCTTTTTTTCATTCTCATTTTTCTACTAATTTTCAACCACACATTCTTCAATAAAATAATATTTTTCATCACATCAATAATTTTTCCTTATTTTTCAACCACATATCCCCATTACATCAACAGTAAAAATGCATTCTTATCTTCAAAATGTGCACCAAACGGGGATTCAATTAGCGATTTTCTGCATAACAATTTTTAGGCAATTACTTTACCTGAAATTCATTTTATTTCCACCAATTTTCCACCCTTGCAATCAAACGGACCTATAGATCAAAAACCAAAAAAAGAAATAAAGAAATAAAATAAAAAAGGAAAAAAGTTTTGTGGGGGTTTCTTTTCCTTCATTTGCAGCAGATTCCCAATCACTGGTAACCTGGCATATCTTAATGAACTTGTAGTGTGGTGGAGGGGAATGGTAAAAGATAGAGGGAATTTCCTGTAGTGGAGATTGACTGGAAGGATTGTAGTGTGGTGAAGTGAAGTTAGTGTGTGAAATCATCGGTTCACTGTCCAAATATTTTCTGCGCCATTCTTGTTCCGCCTCGTCGGGGATTTTCCTTTAATTTCCATGCCTTTGGAAGCGGAGACGACGTCCACGGTGGCGCACCCATTTTCCTCGACGGTTTATAGCGAGTGTCCGGAGGTGGAGACGGTGGTGCAGCCCAACTGATTCTTCACCTGCAGGATTGACGGGTTTTAAGTGTAGGTGTTGGACCACTTACTGTGGGACTAACAGGTACCCGGAACGACATGGGTGCAATATAATCGAGATTCAAATACTGCCGATTCCAACCTTTTCCCCTCGCCAAATCCCAAATCTTGAACTAGAAAAAATTCAATCCAACATCTTCCTTTTTCTTCTAATCGAAGCTAAACCAAAATCTTGAACCCCCAAATCTAGCAACCACTCATGCCGCGTAAATCCTCTTAGCCACTCATTTTCTTGTAATAATAATCAAGTTCTGATCCAAAATTTGCTTCTAGAAAGAAAAAATTAAAGAAAAACAACAATGAAACGATCTTGATAAGTGCGTTTTTACATATTTATTTTACTGTCAAAATATGAGAAATTGTTGATTAATATGTTGGAATATAGATTATTCTATGCAATTCATGTTTTGCAAGACAAGTGATGAATGTAGCGAAATAAGAAGAAACAAGTGAAAAATGACCAAAATGGAGAAAAGTGAAAGTTCAGGGACTAAAGTGAAAATACTACAAACTTGTTTCCAACCTTGTGATGAAGATTCGAGAGCGTTAGATGTCAATTGGATGAAAAAAAGAGTCAAATGGGTGAAATATAGCCAATACATTATCTCATATTAACTTTCAGGCTGAAAAGTTTTGCATCGGTTTTCAGCCTCATATTGAGACCAGTTTTTGATATGGAAAACAATC